ATGTGTGTGTCTGTGTGTGTGTGTATGTGTGTATGTGTGTGTGTGTGTGTATGGGTGTGTGTGTGTGTCTGTGTCTGTGTGTGTGTATGGGTGTGTGTGTGTGTGTGTGTGTGTATTTCTGGCTGCAGGAATGACCATGGTCCCACTTCCCTGAGCTATGCGGAGCCACGGAGCAAACACCCATTTTATATTTTGAACAGCACCCGGCGGTGCATAACATGGTCTCAAAAGCCGTTAACCCCCGCCGTTCTCAACCCAGGTGCTTGCTGGGACCTCTTGGGGGATCTTTAAAAGCCATTCCGTCCCTTCGCAGATGGAGGAGTCCCTTATCCAGTTCTCTTTCTGCGGCTCCACCCTGCCTGTGGTCGGCTGCGGTTTGAAAACACAAAGTGGAAAATTTCAAACATTTCACAAGTTCTAAACTGTGCATCCTTCTGAGTGGCACGATGTCTCCTGTCACTCCGCCCCTCTCTGACCAGGGTGTGCCATCCTTTTGTGCAGTGTTTCCACACAGTATATGCTACCTGCCTCCCCGTCACTTGGTAGCTAGCTCAGTTCTCAGATTGGCTGCCACGGTGCACAGCATCACAGTGCTTGTGTCCCAGGGACCCTGCAGCGTCAGGCATCCTTGGCAGGGGGCCGGGGTGGGAGCGTGGTCCCGGAAGGTATCCCTTGCAGGTACGATGGATGAATTATGGTCTCCAGTTCACCTGCGTTCATCACCACATGGTTCCTAGCAGCCAAGCGTCCACCCCCATGAGTAAAATGTAGCCCCTGCCGCGGTGGAATAGAACGGGGGCCTTAAAAGGAATGAGTTCTGACGCGGTGCAGCTGGGAGCCTGAGGACATGAAATAAGCCAGCCCCAGAAGGGAAGTTCCTGCGTGGTGCTGCTCAAATGCAGTCAGACTCGGAGAGAAGGGCAGGGCGTGGGCTGCCAGGAGCCGGCGGAAGCGGGGCAGGGAGTTAATGTTTAATGAGGTTGGCTAGAGTTCCAGCTCTCTCTGCATGATGAAGAGCTGGATGGCCAGGGTTTCGACATGAATCGAGTCATCACGCCCCTGAACTGCATGCGTGATAATGGCCAGTGTGGTCAGTTTTATGGTTTCATAGTTAAAGAGCATCTTCCTTAAAATAAAAAATAAAAGTAGAGAGCGGACACGGAGTTGGGAGGAGTGGGAAGGTGGGGGGTGGATTGGGAGGAGTTAGAGGGAGGAGGGGGAGTGAATAAGGTCAGACTATAATTGTACGACATTCTCAAATTAAAATATTACGTTAGAAAGAGGTATTTTCCTTTTGCAGGTCCACATGGTTAGAGCCTGCGGCTCCGAGTAAGACATAAAGTAAAATTCAAATTTAAATAGTAGTTCTTAAATCAAGGGGACCCTCTCTCACCCAGTCGTGTCTGGCTCAAACTCAGCAGTGACATCCCCAGGATGACTTGCAGCCAAAGGCTTGACGTTCCCCCGGAGCCCTCCCTCATAGCACTGAGCCAGCCTGGCACTCACCCGCGATGACCCTGGTCACCCTACCACCCTCAGGCCGCTGACAGGGCGGGACTCAGTGGCCTCCAAGCCTGAGACATGCGCTGACTTCCCCCTCCCCAGGCTCTTTGTCCCTCGTGGGCCCCCACAGAAGAGAAGGGAACCTTGGGGGACAGTGGGTTATAGGCCAAAGGGATTTTGACCTTTCCTGGAAAGGATCCAGAACTAGCAATAGACTTCTGACCCAGAACTCGCCCTTTGCCAGGAGGTGGGTTGGCAGCCCTGCTGGCATGCAAGGACTCACTCAGTGTATGGGGAAGCGAGTCCTTTGGTGGCAGAGGTGAAGGCAGATGTTCCCTATAAGACCCGCCATTACACAGCACATACATGTAAGCACACTGGCACCAGCATCTACATCCTTAAAACATGGGTGGGCAATAACCCAAACACCCAAAGGGAGATGTTCACAGTCTCGGTGAAACTATTCAAAATGAGGGGGCTGGAGAGAGGGCACAGCAGTTAAGAATACTGCCTGCTCTTCCAGAGGACCTGGGTTCAAGCCCCACCATCTGTAACTCTAGCTCCAGGGGATCCGATGCCTCCTTTGACCTCCTCGGGTACCAGGCACACAGTGGCACACATGCATACACGTAGGCAAAACACCCGTACACACAAAGTCAACTGGTAAACTGTCCAGCCCACAGAAACACCCCAAGCAGAAGTACGGTGGGGGCCAGGGGACCCCAAGACAAATGCTCCTTTCCAGTCTGGGGCATATTCGGGTGCAGGCTCCCGCTGGAAGGAAAACAAAATGCCCTACAGGTTCTGCTTATGGACCATTAGTTAATTAAATCACAGCTTTACTGCGCCTGCAATTAGCTCGGCGCTAATCTCAACGCTCCAGCTTCCTGGGGTCTGTCTGCGGGTCTCTTTGCTCCACCCACAAGTGTCCCATTGGGGCCGCAGTGACAGATAAAGAGTTAGCGGTCCGGCCGTGATTGCAGCTTTTCTCCTTGATATCTTTATGCTGTGCTATAAAAAGCCTATTATACTTAATTTGAAGAGTGAGACCTGCTGACACCTCTTTCAACTGGTAATCTGTAGGCAACAACGGGCGGAATATTACTCGAAAGGAATAAAGCGCTTGCTTTATTGGAGAGCGGTAAAGGGCTAATAGTTGGCACAACAATGCGCTGTTTGCTCTTAGAGATAGTTGGGTTTATTAGTTTAAGCCACTCAGGGCACGTTACGGTCGGCCTCAGCCCCGCGCCGTTTTAGGACTTGGCTTGGATTAGCGGAGCAGGAGGAGGTCTGGAGAGAGGCTGGTCTGTCCATGAGCACACTCTCCCTAGGAATGCCACCAGGAGCCCACCCCACACATGCCCGTACACGTACGTGACGCCACCCTAGACCGGGGCCGAGGGGACAGTGGGCTGTCACTATGCTCTGCACACCAGTCCATGGTCTGTCTCTTTTGTCTCTTACAGGTCCAGGAGGGCCAGGCCTGGGCCTGAACTAGCCCCAGGAGCCTGAACTCTCTCGGCTCTGGAAAGAGGGCGTCAAGGAATGGAGCTCTCCCTGTTAGCACTGGGACTTTCGGTTTCTGCTCAACGGGTCAGGTCTCAGGGCCTGCAGGTGGCCCCCAGCGTGGGGGTCTAAATGGCAGGCCCGGAGAAAAGTCCAGAATGTGCACTTTTGAACTAGCAGCTGCTCCCGAGTTCTCTGGAGACCCCACAAAGAGAAGCATGGCTCATAAGTCCGCCACTTGGCCCTGCTTCAGCTCCTCCGAGACGAGACCTGGGAAGGCTCCGAAGCCTGGAGCCCCATGATTGGGCTTCTAAATATCGACTACGGCCCAGCCTTGCTCAGAACCAGAAAGGAAAATGACTCTGCCATGAGGGGTGGGGGGTGGGGGAGGGGCTGGCCAGTCATCATATCCACCCTGCCCACCCCCACCCCCCCCAAAACTATGCTGCTGGGATGGAGCGAGCCGAGGCAGCCGGCTCCATACCCACACCCAGTTCAAAAGGTGAGCAGCCCCAGCCAGGGCCTCCTGACAAGGCCCCACTGATCCTCCTGCCCCTGAGAAGCACTTATCGCTTGAACTTTCAGCCTACTAATTCCAACCAAGGTCCATATCGCTCAGCTTCAGGCAATAAAAAAAAAAAAAAGTATGTTTATCTTTTGGAGTCAAATCCTGTCTCTCCCAGATGACTCTTCCACAGAGCTATTTCCTTGTTCTCTGTGTCCTAATTCCCAGTCAAGGCCAGTTAGTACAGCTCTCCCAGAAAGCCTAAAAACCCGGCCTTCTCAACGGAGGCACCAGGGCTGAGTTCCCAGAGGCCCAGTTCAAGGTCATGGTCAAGGTCAGGAGCTGTTCTGAGAAAGAGCTCTGGTCTCCAGGTTCTCTATCCCATAAATAATGGGGTGCTAGTCAACCAGATTTGAAGGTATCTAACTAAATAAATCCCTTCTTGAAGTCAAAGTGGAACTCTGGGCGGCCAAGGAAAGTTAACATCTTCTGTAGATGTTATCTGGACACCCAGTGGCACCAGGCAAGATCTCACCTAGGCCCAGTGTAAGGCCAGAGACACAATGACCCCCCATCACCTGCTTCACCCTCTCTCGGCCTGCCCTGGGGCTGCACTGTCATGCAAGAAGCTAGGTTGGTAGTGAGATCTAGGCACCCTGGAGAGAAGGAGCCAGATGGAGGACAGGCCACCTTCGGGCAGATGCAGGGATGCCTTGCTGGCAAGCACTGGCCCCTGACCAGGTCAGTCCCAGGTAGCACTCCTTGGCTCTGGCTGCTGCTGCCCTTGACCGAGTCTCACTGAACAACAGCCTGTGGACATGGAAACTGATGCGGTAGGGAAGAGGGATGGGGTAGGGTCCTCCACCAGCAACGCCTTAGCATGCAGCCCCGGAGATGTGGCTGCCTCCAAGAGGGACAGCCCCAGGGCTCCCCGCTCTGCCAGCCAAACTGCTCTGCTCTCAACATTGACCCTTGTCAGGGCAGAGAATGCTCCCACGGCCCGGGCCGCGAGGGGCAGCTGCCAGGACTGGACCATTCAGATGGCGCCGTCTCGGGGACCACCGCTTTCAGCGGCTGGCGTAAGAACACTTTCGTGTTTCAGGACCCTCCGCTGAATCACGGCTGGGCAGTTTTACCTTCACTAGACCCGGCAGTACTGTTCCACAAATGAAGAGGTCCCACAGGGACGTCTGGAAAACCATCCCACTTGAGAGCATCGTCTTCGGGTATGGCAGTCTTCGGGTATGGCAGTCTTCAGGTATGCACCCTAAGGAAATGAGTTATGGCTGGGAGATGCCCTTGGGTTGCCTCTGCCTGGCACTGAGCGCCAGGGAACCCCCCTGCATGTGCCTTTACACCGCGGGCCAAGCACCACTGTAAAGCTGAAAGAAAATGAGGCACGAGTCCACCGGGCTTTGTGCGTCCACGTGGCACATCGTGGCGTCTCCTCACTCAGCAGGCAGCAGCATCCATGGAAGATGCTGGTACTGCCAAAGCATTAATGATGCTGTAAAATAATAAGCTGCAGGGTGCTCCCGCACGAGTGAGCACTTGATAAAAGGGAGATTTACAGCCACATCCATCAACTTAATTATCTTTTACTAGGGGTTTAAACTTAGTTGTAATGCTAATCTGTATTTAGTACAGTTTACAGGATCTATGGACACTTTACAATCTTCCTCTCTTCACAAGTGTCAAATTATGGCAATATTGATAAAGCAATGGAGATGATGGGAGGAGAGAGAGCCCCGGGACCAGCTCGCACGCTTTTTACAGCTCTGTAAAAACCTATTACTCTCTGGTTTAAGGATGAAAATGTGTGGCCAATAATCTGAGCTGATAGTGTTTCGGAAGCAGTTCCATAGATAATAAATGTGCCTTTCTTAGCCTTCTTCACCTCCTCCACCCAATCCCAAGAGCAGGCTCCATGGACCGGACCTCGGGAAGCTGGCCCCATGAAGACTGAACCCCTCTGCCCTTGCAGGCTTCTTGCCTTAGGCCAGGACGGGTCTGGGAGCCTTCTGTGGTCCCTCTACACAGACGAGCACACCAGTTCTCCAGCTTCCTGCTGCTCGATGGACGACAACCCAAGACAGAGAGGTTCTCAGCCTGTGGGTGGTGACCCCTTTGGGGGCTGAACGACCCTTTCACAGGGGTCACATATCAGAGATCCTGCATACCGGATATTTACATCACTATTCATGACAGTAGCAGAATTGCAGTTATGAAGCAGCAACGAAATAATCTTACGGTTGGGGGGTCAGCACGACGTGAGGAACTGTATTAAGGGGTCACGGTGGTCAGAAGGCTGAGAAGCACTGGTACAGGGGACCCTGGAGGGAGCTGTGCTGTGTGTGTGTGTGTGCGTGTGCGTGCGCGCGTGCGTGCGTGCGTGCGTGCGTGTGCGTGTGTGTGTGTGTGTGTGTG